TTTCTATTGCACTCGTCTCTGCCTGTGCCTGCGGGCTGGGTTGCATCATGAACACTAATTAGGCCCTAACTTGCCTAAACTTAACACCGACGCGCAAAAGCCTGACACCTGAACTCCGGATCTCGCCTACCAGTGCATACCCTACACCCTAAACACCTAAACCCATAAGCCCTAAACCCTGAAGGCCCTGAACTGCAAACGCTAAATCCTCAACCCTACAAGCCCTTATTGAACCTTATTGGTGGCCCAGAGGACTTAGTAAGTCGGGTATAAGTAGGGTTCTAGTTGGGGTAACTCCATTCAAGGTAACTGTAACTACAAACTATAACCTACTTACTAAGTCCCCTGGGCCTCTAAATATCCCTGACCCCCCCCTGTTGAACCCTTACAGATCCCTTTTAAGGAACCCTTTAAGGAGCCTTACTACTTACTAAGTGGGCCTTTAAGTAATATCCTTCGGACTACCTGTGCAGATTTAGGGCCTCGAAGATTGTGCATCCCAGGGAGTAAATGTCTGCAGCAAAATCGTACCTCACGGCGGTTCCGGGTTTAGGGTTTAAGGTTTCGGGTCTAGGGTTTAAGGTTTATAGGGTTTAGAGGTTTAGGGTTTAGGGTTTAGGGTTTCGGGTCCGCAAACCCACAGGGTTTTGGCTTGAGGCTTTATGGTTTAGGGTTGAGGGCTCGGGGCTGAATGCAAGGCACAAACCCAGAACCTCACTCGCACAATCTTAACCCCACGCCGGAAGCCCAAACCACACAACCATCAACGCCGAACCCGAGACCCAAACTCCCCCCAAAATCCCAAAGCACTCTCCCCAAATCAAACAAAGCTTCAGAGCCCCAAAGCCGTTCACGGAATCCTAAACCCTAAACCCTCAACCCTAAACCCAGAGCTCCAAAGCCGTTCACGGAATCGGGCTTCCCATTTACACCGTTCCAGAATGGGCCTTAAACCATGGCTCAGGGCTTCGATATGAGACGAGATGCAGGTTTAGGGCCTCAGGGGGGGCGCCTGGGGCTTCTAGGTTTAGGGTTTAGAGTTTACTTGGAGGGGCAGGGGATTTAGTAAGTAGGTTATAAGTAGGGTTATAATTGGGGTAACTCCATTTAGGGCACTTATAACTCTACTTATAACCTACTTACTAAGTCCCCTGCCCCTCCAAGTAGGGTTTAGGGTTTAGGAGTTTACGATTAAAGACTCAGCCTCGATCTCGCCGAAGATGCGACGTGTGAGACGCATGTGGGGATTTCCGAAAATTAGGGTACCTTATTTTGGGGTCCTTATACTAAGGATCCTACTATTTAGGGTACCATATTAGGGTCCCCCATTTTCGGAAACTCCCATGTCTTTATGTATGTAACATGCATTTATGTACGTACATGCATCTGTAAGTTTTTGTACATGCGTACCTATATATGCTTCCGCGCGATGTGTGTTCGTGAGTATGCAAACAAGTATGTACGCATGTATGTATGCATCTATGCATGTATGTATGCTTGTAAGGATTCAATTAAGTACCTAGGTATGTATCATGTACGTACGTGTGTATGTACATATGCATAGTGCGAATGTCTGTATGTATGCATGCTTGCGTGTAGGTAGGTATGTATACACAAACGCACGTATCCACGTATGCATGCACCGAGGTATGTATAGCTGTTTTCTTCTTGGTGTTTATACTCGTACTCTGCTTTTGCTTTATCTGCTCATCAGTTTGCGGGCTCACAACAGTGTACTTGCTTACCATGTACATAAACCCTGTGCGCCAAAGCACAGTGAACACGTTCAATCCCTGGACACTGGAACCTTGGCTAACCCTGTCCCATTTGACTGTGGGTAGGGGGACATAGTTGAAAGCGGGCTATGCTGGGCCAGAAGCACCCTCATACTGCGCCGACCCCATGCGAAACCTACCACAAAGGATGCTTCCCACATCAAAGGCCGTAAAACCTGAACCCTGAACCCCATAGATCCCTTTGAGGAACCCTATAGATCCCTGTAAGGAACCCTATAGATCCCTTTAAGGAGCCCTTACTAAGTCCCCTGCCCCTCCAAGTAAACCCTGCTGGGGCTCTCACTTCTGTCCCAACCACACCTGGACAAACTCAAACACTAAACCCTAGACCCTAAATCCAAAACCCTAAACCCCTAAACCCCTGAACCCCTGAACCCTAAACCGCTTCTAAACCCCTGAACCCCTAAACCCCCAAAACCCCTAAACCCTAAACCCTGACCCTAAACCCAAAACCCAGAATCCTGAACCCTAAACCATGCAACCCCGAGCCTCACCCAAAAGAAGCCTTCAAGCATTCCGGTGGTGCCCTATAGGTGCCCTATACTGAGCTATACTGCTCAAGAGAAATGTCGCTGATCTATCGGAGCCTGGAAACACAAGAAGAGTCATAACGAGAGCACATATCGCAAGCATGATGTTGGTAGAAAAGCGCACGTCTCAGAACAACAACCAGGTAGCACAAGTATAACAGTCGACATCTTCACAGCAGTAAGCATAACAGCCTTGACAGCATAACATGATGTGAGGAAGCACTTAACTACAGTATCAAGGTAGCACCAGTAGCCTTCGAATCATAGCTAGATAAGGGACCGGCTGGAAGCATGGGATTGTTTCTGCTTTTCGGTTTTAGGGCCGTTCAGGGATGTAAGGGGCCAAGGGTCTAAACTTTTTGGTCAAGGGTTTAAGGGTTCAGAGGTTTACGTCAAGGGTTTCAGGTTTCAGAGGTTTACATCAAGGGTTTAAGGGTACAGAGGTTTACGTAGGTGCAAGGGATTTTGTATCCTCGCCGTATATCAAAGAAGAGTAGAAGACGTCAGAAGGCCCTCGAATCCGTCGAAGTTCCGAAATCCTAAACCCTAAACCCTAACCCCTAAACCGTGCCTCAGGTGCCAGGTATCCAGGAGTTCCGATCTGTGTCCAAGCACCAGCCAGTGCCACCTGCTTCGAGGGAGGGTTTCGGGCACAGGTTTCAGGGCCTAGGGATTTAGGGTTTAGGGTTTCGGGCTTAGGTTTTAGGCTTTGGGATTTCCAGGACCCCCCAAACTACCCTCTCATATACCCCAAATACCCACTGTTAAGGACCATAAGGGCTCCATTAAAGGGTACTTAGCGGGTCCTGGTTCAGACTTCGGCTTTATGACTCGCGGCTTAAGACTCGGAGATTAGCGCTGAGGGCTGAATTTCCTACTGGGGTAGGTTTCGGGCTTGGGGTTTAATACTTGCAGATTTTTGCTCAGGGTTCAAGACTTGGAGTTCATTTCTGGCGTAGTATACAAAGCTTCGGTGTTAGAGCTTAGGGTTTGAGAATTGGGGTTTGTATAGGTGCTTGTCAAAATTAGGGTCCCTTTTTGGGTACCCTAAATATTAGGTGCCGTACTACAATGACCCAAAAAGGGACCCTAACTTTGACAACCACCCATATGGATTTTAAGCCTTTGGACCTAGGGCGTTGCAGTTTCGGAAAACGCGGGCAGGTCATTGTCAATGTCGAGACCCTGAACAGTTCGGCTCGACAGCTTCGGGACTGGAAGACATTGGGTTGAGGGTTTAACTAACCAGTGGTTTTGGGGTTCCTTTGGCTCTTTAGCTCCTTATTTAATAAGGAATATCATCATCCCTGGCTCCTTAGCTCCTCCAATATCAACGGTTAGTTAAAGTGTACGGTTTTTGGTTTAAGGATTTGGGGATCTCCTGGACCCCGAGGAACCTAACGTTTGAAGGACGTATATAAGGAAATCATAGTAATGAACCCGCAAAAGGTCCTCGAGGGTCCAGGTTGGGTTTAGGGGTTTCGGCTTTGGGTCAAGGCTAAAAGGTTTAGGGCTTAGGGTTTTGAAGGTTTAGGTCTGGGGTTGCGGGTTTAGAACAAATACGAATATCAAGCGCCGGTGCAAGTATGTCAGCTTCGTTGGCGCCGGGCTGCATGAATTGAGCTTGGGATCGTTCTCATTGCGATACCCCGTGTGATGCACTATCCAATACACTTATGCAGCCCGAAAGCCCTGCACGCCAAACCCTAAGCTTCCCTAGCCACTAAATCGTCTCCTCTGAGCAAGCACTCAAGCCTGTTTCTGATGGATTCACTGCTCTGCGTCCCCACACAGGCCAGGACCATGGACGCAACAACGGAATGCTTTCTCGATCAACCTACTCCAAAACCCTAGTCTCTTAGAAGGTTGGCATCGTTGCCAGCACTTTTGCACTCATACAAGTTGAAGATGCTGCCAACGCTGCAAAACCGTAAAGAAAGGCTGTTCAACTGAGGACTTTCGACAGCTTGAAGTTAACATCCTGTGTTCATGCAGCATCATCGAAGCCTCAATCGTTAGAACAGGGCTGCGGGGTCTAATGGAGGGGCCTTAATATTTAGAATAGGGTTTTGGGGCCCGTTATACTGTAATTATAAGAAGGGCCCGCAAAAAAATAGCACCTTTTGAGGGCCCTATATTGATTTGGCAAAGGGTCTTCAGGGTTTAACGGAAGGGTTGGGGTTACAGAGCTTCGACCTGAGGATTTCGGAGAAGAACACCGATGTCACGTCAAGAGATCCTGCCTGATGTGCCCAAACCTGGGTTCTTCTTGAGGGATTCAAAGTAAGTTGGCATAATATGGAAACCTTACATTTCTTTTTGAAAATCCCTTTCTGAAATTTTGTTCGTTGAGAAGAACCCAGAAACTGTGCTGAGACGAAGCTTCGGGCATCGCCGAAGCAACCAGCTCTGGTTCTTCGATTAAAGAGAGGAAGGCACCTCAATGTATGGTTGTCCACCTATGTTTCCACCGTTCAGGGGGGCGTAAGGGTGGCTCCGTCGGCCGTGTTTCCCAAGCATTTTGGGTGGAAGGAGTTCTAGATTTGCTTGGGCTCGGAAGGTTTATAACATTCCAGATTCTTATTAATGAAGCGGCTGATTGCACAGCCACACATCAAGGCGCCCATTTGGAAAGAGACTCTGGGCCCTGTCGACTACGCCCTGTAACACGTTGCTAGTAGTCGTCGTCGTAGTCATCATCGTAGTCGTCGCCATAATCGCTACCGCCGCCATAGTCGCCGTAGTCGTCCTCGTAGTCATCACCACCTCCATAGCCGCCTCCACCATCGCTGTGGCTGTCTTCGGCCTCTACCGCATAGCCCGCGACTGCGCACTCCTCATCGTCACTGTCTTCGACTGGTACCGCGAAACCTGCCACTGCACACTCCTCATCGTCGCTGCCTTCGGACTCGACGACCCAGCCACCTGGGGTGGTGTAGGCTGTGTGGCCGTCTGCATCGCACTGGTATGTGGAGCCATCTTGGTTCTCATAGTGGTAGGAGCCGTCGTCATAGGATTCGTAATAATTTCCTCGAGAGTTGTAGCCGCTACTCTGCAGCTGCGGCCCAGAGTTCCTGAGCTGCAAGGCATTACGAAAAAACCTGCAAAATGTGTGAACGCAGGGACACTTATCGTTGGAACAGCGGGTACATGAAACATCGATATTCAAGCTCTTTTATCACATCCCGACGAGAATTTGCCAAGATTTCTTCTTGCGGTTCGTGCAACAGGGCTCGTAGTCAAGTGTCTTATTCGAGGTGGTGACTTTTCCTCAAATTGGTTATGCACAACGGGGTTCGGATTCTCAAGAGTATGTCTCGCTCCCCACACTTGGAGCGTCGGGGACTTAGCAACTGTTTGTTCTAAGGACTTACAAGTACCATAACCCCAATTAGGGCCCCTATGAGGGTACTTATAAGTCTACTTACTACCTACTTACTAAGTCCCCCTACCCTCCAAGCACCCCCACAAGCTTTGAGCCGAATACCTTGTAGGAGCTTGTCGGCTCCATGCCAGACGAAACTGAAGGCACGATTCGACACTCTGTTGGTGCTTCTGTACATCCTAAATTCTGAAGCATGTCTTTGCGAGGCATCCAAAGTCAGTAACTGCCTTCTTCGAAATCAACATGGAACAACATTTTGCCTGCTTTTAAACGCCAGTAGTCTAAAGCAGGCATTGTGTCCTGCTCTACATTACTTTCAAAAGTCTTCGACCGAGAATCCAAGTTGTGGCTTCTCCCAGATCGTGCCCAAACGCAGCCGAGATGGCCTCCCTGCAACAAATGGGCAAATACTGTGAGGCTTCGGGCGTCAGGTGAACTGCTTCGGAGGCTTTACTTGGAGGGGCAGAGGACTTAGTAAGTAGGTTATAAGTAGGGTTGTAATTGGTGTAACTCCATTTAGGGCACTTATAACTTTAGTTTTCACCTACTTACTAAGTCCCCTGCCCCTCCAAGTCTGGTTGTAGGAGCCCGGTAGGTTGACTGCCTAGAATTAGAACGGCCGAAACGTCACGGGCGACGAACGACCCTAAAGTCCTCAGCGTCCGAACCACGAAGATAAGACGTTGGCTTTCAATTAGGGTTTAGGGTTCAGGGTGTAAGGTTTGTCTTTTGAGCTCCTTTTTGATGTCCGCCAGGCAAGGTGTGAGGCTGATTCTTTAGGGCTTAAGGTTTCGGGTTTAGGGTTTAAGGCTTAGGGTTCAGCTTTATCTTAAGCACCCATTTCCTTGCAACGGAAGCCCCACAAGGCAGGTGTCCTGTACCTTTTGCAAAACCCCCTCCATCCACCTCAGGAGTCACCGATGTCCTCGTGATCCCTAGGGTTAAGGGTTTAGGGCTTCGGATTTTGGGTTTAGGCCGTCGGGTACCATCGTGTACCCATCTTCATGATAGCAGAACCGATTGGATCCTTCTTCAGGGGCCTACATAGTTGGAAAAGGCTTTGGGGGTAAAATATACTCCAGCCACGTATAGTCCGTATAGTACGGAACGTCAAGGAATAATCTTGGTAGTTACGCTATTATTTCAGGGCTTCTACCTTAACCTCTAAACACAAAACTCACTAAACTCTACAAGCCAAAGCTTCTCTACAGCCCAAAACCCTTACAGTACACCTCAAAAGAACCCGTATCGGTATCGTGCCCTACCCGTAAAAGAACCCGTGAAACTTCCCTAAGCCCATGTCACACCCTCAACCCGCTATGGAAACTCTCTAAGTCCGAAAGCAAGGGCTCCTCGTGCTCTGGGAGGAGCGCGAGAGGCCAGTCGGAGCCTGCCGGCACCGCGTCCACTCGCGGGGGTTTGGGGGGTTGTTTAGGGTTTATAGGGTTTAGTTTAAGCCTTTTTGGGTTGGGGCTTGGGATTTGTGGGTCTTGGATCTAAGACCGCATGAGGGTGAGGGTTCTTGGGCTTTGCCTGCTGTCCTTGGGCTAGCCACCCGTCTTGCTTTCAAAAATGCACAGAATTTGAAGGAAGCCTCAGTCGAAGCGTTGGTGCTCCAATTTGTGGTCAACGGTTTTCTTGCCATCTTTAGCTAAGTGTCAGAATAGGAAGTAACCCCACCTACCGACAGCTTTAGCTTGCTCTGGCCGATGAAACACCCTAAACCCTGCAACACAAAGAAATCTAATACCCATTTGTTCTGAGAGCAAGACTTCAGACCAGATTGTTTGAACATCGTTGACAAAAAAATTGCTGCAAAGCTGATGGAACTGTAGTCTGGTCCTTGTTGTGGATCATGCAGGATTTTGTCCATCAGCCCTAGTACTAGCCCTTCATAGATAGTTCGTAAACCCTGTCTGCACCCTGAACCCAAAAAGGTTTGCTTAAGTATAAGAGAGTGTTGTCCCACGGCGCGTATCGCAACCCCGAGTTAGTACAAGCAGGAACCCTGGAAGGGGCCACCAGAAGAAGCGAGGACCCATGTTTGGCCTGCTTTGTGATTCCTGCAGACGGCAACACTGCCCTGGCAGGGGAGGGCGGGAGCGGGGCACGGGGAGGGGGTGGCGCTGGCCCACGGCGGTCCTTGGTTGGGTCTGGGGCTGGCGTTGGCTTTCAATGCATTTATTTACCTTGCGGGGTGGCTCCGGGGCCGTAAAAACTCTTACAGGACGGAAATGCCGTGAGGATCGCGGTCGGGACAATTATGGCAATTATGCAAGCTTGCTTTTTGGCAACAAAACGATGGCAATATGTCTATGAAGACTGCGAATACAAGTGATAGTCGCACGGGGATGACAACAGCAACTCTGATAATGACGTGGCATTGTGATTTAGGGCTAAACCATACGGAGGGTAAGAGGATCTGGCAGGCTCTTTGAAAAGAGTGTAACTTCTCATGTGGTCGGTTTCAGGGAGCACAAGGCCCAAAACGCTGAACGTTAACCCGAACCCTGAACCTTGAACCTAAACCTTGGATCCTTAGCCCGAAACATGAAAGCCCGACCCTACGCCTTAAATTCTTGAATCTTACACCCCAACTAGCCCGAGATCCTTAACATTTTGGCTGTGCCCCCCGACAGGCCGAAGGCTATCTGGGTGTCGATTTCAAGAGTCTCCACAGTTATCTATGTTTAATGTAGGAACCTGATTAAGAAACCTTGGGCCTTTATTAGGGCTCCTTATGTCTTATGTGAATCCTCCTATTTTGGGGTTATAGGCCCAGGGTTTCTTAGGCAGGTTCCTACCTGATTTTTAAACAATAAGGGAAATTACGCATTTCATCCCAAACCAATACCTAGCTATGGGCAGCTGCCAGTAGCTGAGGCTCCGGATAGATGGCCCTGCGGATGGACTCCTTACTGCGGATGGGTTTAGGGTTTAAGGTTTCAGGTGCAGGGTTTCATGTTTTGGGATTTGGCTTTAGGGCTTAGCAGCATGATCTTGCATACCCCGGGATATGGAGAACCACGGCACATGTCTGATCATGGATAATGCGAGGTTTTGTCCATTCGCTGTATTGTAGACACTGAGAACAAAGGCCTAAGAAGCAGGCGCGAGCAAGTGGCAGCGGCCTACGGATGGTGGGAAAAGCGTGACTAAAACGAAGACGCAACACCTGGGCTACCACCGTCGACGCTAGATAGCGAATTCAGATTCTTAGGGGCCGAGTATCTGAGCCCAAAGCAGGGTAACCTTTCCTTCTTGAACCTTGCATCGATGCCCGGGAGGCTCAGATCCTGCGTGTCGCAAAACAAAAAGTAACCTTTTTCAGTTATGGTAGGATTACAGTGGAAGCCTAATAGTTTTGCAACTCTCTGGGGTTTACTGTATATGATTGCATTAGCCCCAAAGGTTAAAGTGTACCTGCTCAGCCCATAAGGATGTAGCAGATGTCCGATTCAGCGGGGCTTGAACCCTGGCGTGAGTCGAATACGCGCGGCCAAAACAGGCACTTCAAAGGCGAGGCTGATGCAGAATACACGAGTAAAACACAGCAAGCGATTCGGCCCTGAGCCCACGCCCCGCTCGGGATGAAAATCATCACAACCAGAGAAGCAACTCTGGACTAGACCCTAAAGCCCTAACCCGTGTCCCCAAGCGACTCTCTGGGTAGGGTTGGATGAATCGGGTTGAGTCAAGGCTCCGGATCATACCTCTTGGCCTGGGGCACCGTGTCCTTCCCCACTTGACCGTACCTCAGTGCTGCTGCGCTATAGTCTACTTTGAAGAATTAATGTCTCATGTCGGTCTTGTCTTTCCTGTGCATGACTTTGAAACAGCATTAAGGACCATACCTTGTGGGATACTTGCGGAGGTCGATTCCCTCGCGATGGACGAAGATCCGACCGTCCTTGCGCTGGCCATGTCCCGGCCGGTCCTTTAGCTCCTCCTTGGGAATCTCGCAGCGGATGTAGTGATCCATCTTCCCGTGCTCCATCGCGGTTTTCCATCCGCTATCCCAGTTGTTCTCGGCGATGGCTTTGGGCCTTGTGGATGGTACCAGGTTGGTGCCATAGGTGCCCCTCCCCTCCACGGCATCCCCCCTTTTGGGATCGGAGACCCCAAGGCGCCCTTCCTTCAAGATGCCATCTAAGCCCGGACCGTTGGTGTAGTGGTAGAAAGGAACTGACCTCGACATGGCGACAAAAAAGACCCGATGGTCCGATGGCTGGGGCCGAAACCTCTGGGCCTTCGGATGCAGAGGAGTGGGGTTTGAGGTTAGGGTTTCAGGTTCAGGTATAGGGTTTGGGGTTTGGGGCTTAGGCTTTGGGGTTTGGGGTTTAGGGTTTGGGGTGTAGGGTTTGGGGTTTGATGGTAGGTGGGTAAGTGTTGAGCTTCTGACTATAGCTGGCGCCTGGACATCCGACATCCTCCCCGACCAACACCCTAAACTTCTGAGCCCCGAAAGTCCGAACTCAACAAGTGCAGGAAATGGTAAACAACCAACCCGAAGCCCCAAACTCTGAACCTTCTAGAATCCTCCTGCAGACTCTTCACGGTACACCCCCTATGGACTCCCGGCATAAACCGTGAATCCTGAACTCCCAAACCCTAACCCTAAGGCTCAAAATGGCCCGATATAGTATGGTCTTTGGGCCCAAAAGCCTTCATATATGAGTCCTTAGAGCCCTTGGGGTAAAGCCCTTAAATCCGAGGACACGAAACGCCAGACTCCACCTTGGCGATGCCCAGATCGCCTAAGACGGCGGTCCGCTCATCCTCCGACAGGAAGATGTTCCTGGCAACTACTCGGGATCCCAATGAGGCTGGAGGCTTTATATACCTTAACCCGGAAAAACCTACCTGCTTAAGAACTTTTACAAGGATAATAAGGAACCCTAAAAAGGTAGGTTGTTTGGCGCTAAGGTAGGGCTTAAGGTTTTAGGAGTTGAGGCTTTAGGGCTTAAAGCTCAAGGTTTTATGGGGTTTCAGGAATTTGAGGTATTAGGAGTGTAGGCATCGGAGCCTTACAGGGACTTGAAGAAGTCTCGATGCTACCGTTGATGGTATAAGTCCTGCATTACCTTAAGGACGCGAGACTATGGGAATTATGGTACAGTCCTTGTTATGGGTAATGCAGGATTTCTATCATCAACCGTATGGCTTCGGATCGTAGGTAATAGAAACACCCCAAGACAATCTGGTCACATTGATGGGACCTCGGTATCATGCACAAAAACATATACATCGTGCTACCATAGCCAAACACTCACTTAGATGGGTGGTTAGATAGCACGATGCGAACTACCAGCCCTAAACCCTAAACACCTCTTGTTGCAGAGGAACATTCTGCCCTGCAGTCTCGTGGTGTCATCGTAGGGTGCGTCATGTTATCCCAAGCTCTGATCTGATGGACCTAAACCCTAAAATTTAAAGATTTCAGGACTTTGCAGAATTCAAGAAAATGAAAGAATTGAAGGAATTTAAAGAATATAAAGAATTTGAATCCGAGAAGCCTTAAACCCTCATACCCTTTAAGCCGTAAACCTAGAAGTTTAAGCACGCGACCACCTAAACAGCTGAAGCCCTGAGCAGGCCCTTAACTCGTAAACCCGGAAATCCTTGACACCTTAAACCCCCGCGACATAAAAGCCCAAACTCTGAACACCCAAAAATCCGGGACCTGAAACGTCAGACAAGCCATGTGCCCTACACCCCTGAACCCTAAACCCTAAACCCGAAACCCTACACCCCTGAACCTGAAAGCGGTTGCATGCCAGGACGGCGCAGGCTTCACGTCGCGGTGCAGAATTGAGATCTGTGGGCTTTAGAGTCTTTAGAGCTTCTATCGTTTAGGGGTTTAGGGTTTAGGGGTTTAGGGTTTAGGGGTTTGGGGGTTTAGGGTTTAGGGGTTCAGGATTTAGGGTTTAGAGCTTCTATCGTTTAGGGTTTAGGGTTTGGGGCTTTTAGTAGTGGCACGGGTTTTGGGGTTTCGGGGTTAAGGCCCTGGGCTTGTAGCTTAGGGTTGGTGCTTTGGGTTCCAGTCACCAGCTGCTTGTGATCAACTTTACGCGCAGGTGGATACGGCTGATATAAATCCTGCATTACCAGGATTTCTATCATCAACCGTATTGCTGCTAGTGCTGACTGACCAAGAGGTTTATCTCGGCCCAGCCTCAGAAGTCGGGGCTTGGGGTCTGGGTACACATTCCTAGAAACTCCAAACCCCCTTGCTTAAGGAATATACCTTAAATTATATTAGGGGTCCTAGTATAATTTAAGGTAAGTTCCATACTTGCCGTAATTAAGGAATATACCTGAAATTATAGTAGGGGTTCCTGGTATAATTTAAAGTATATTCCTTAATGGCCGTAATTAAGGAATATTCCTTAAATTATAGTAGGAGTCTTGGTATCATTTCAGGTATACTCCTTAATTGACTTATACAATTAAATTTATACAGGGTTTTGGAGTCTCTGTGTGCGGAAGAGATCCTTTAGAGTCCGGGAGGTCGGTAGGCAGCTCACAAGCTCCGGAATCCGTGTCGATAAGATAGAGGCCTTAATAATCAAAATAGGATTCCTTTACAGGGTCCTTTAAAGGGGTCTAGAAGGGATCTACAGTAGGGTGCTATATTGTAAAGGCCATAAAAATTAGAATAGGGTTTTGGGGTAGATGATACTATAGTTATAATAAGAGACCCCCAAAACAGCAGTAGTCATGATTTGACTATATTAGGTGGGTTCAGGCTTTTGGGTTTAGGGTCTTGCTGTAGGGAGTTCAGGGATGGCCGCAGAACATCGCGTTCACACACTGACACTTCAATATGCAGGGCAAATTAGGATGCACATGCCGATGGGCTCCGTAAACAGCATGCATAGGCCAGTTAAATTACGAAATGGTGGAGTTTAATCTTAACCCAGAGGGTTCACATATACTACCATTATGGAACTGGGAAAATCCCAATGGGGACCTAACTACATAGACATAGTCGTATGGACGCTCTAGGCAATGGAAGTTTGAGATTTAGTAAACCCTAAATCCTAAACCCCTTAGCAGCCACAGCCTGCGAAACAACTCTCAGACGATGGGTTGCTAGCCCTACAGCAGGGTTTAGGGTTTACTACCATGCACCGACCAGCACCTTCTGCCAATGCTCCAACCCGAATGCCCCACATGCCAAAACCCTACTTGGAGGGGCAGTGGACGCTGTAAGTATCTTATAACTAGAGTTGTAAGTACCCTAAACGGAGTTCCCGAAATTATAACCCTACTTGTAACCGACTTGCATAAGCCCCCTGCCCCTCCAAGTAGACCCTAAACCCTAAACCCCATAGATCCCTTCAAGGAGCCCTATAGATCCCTTTAAGGAGCCCTAGAGATCCCTTTAAGGAGCCCTGAAAGAACCCTAAGCCTTGAAACACCCGAAGGCCCGAAAACCCGAAGGCCCAAAGCCCCTGAGAAAGGTTCAGGCCGGGGGCTTTATGCAAGTAGGTGATAAGTAGGGTTCCCTAAAGGGATCTATGGGGTTCCTTTAAAGGGATCTATAGGGTTCCTTAAAGGGATCTATGGGGTTTAGGGTTTAGGGTCTACTAGGATGGGCAGGGGACTTAGTAAGTAGGGTTATAATTTGGGTAACTCCATTTAGGGTACTTATAACTCTACTTATAACCTACGTACTAAGCCCCTTGCCCCTCCAAGCGGGGGCCTTATGCAAGTAGGCCAAAGCGCGGGCCATCTGCAAAAGCCTTCATGTGGAATTGAGGGTTTACGGGTTTAGGGCTTAGGGCTTAGGGTTTAGGGTTTAGCGTTTAGGGTTTTAGGGTTTAGGGCTTAGGGCTTGGGGTTTAGGGTTTAGCGTTTAGGGTTTTAGGGTTTAGGGCTTAGGGTTGGGTAGTTGTCAAAATTAGGGTCCCGTTGTTGGGTACCCTAAGTATTAGGTGCCGTATTCTATTAAGAACCCGAAAAGGCACCATAATTTTGACAACCGCCCATATGGTTCAGGGTCCAGGGTTGAGGGAAGGTTTAAGCTGCTGTCAGCTTCAGCATCGGACAGAAAGGTTTAAGGCAGTTGGGGTTCAACTTTCTTCTCAATGCCCCGTATAAGGGCCTGAATAGTTAGAATAGCGGTTTTGAGGGCCCATTGTACTATAATCATAGTAAGGAACCCCCAAGACAGTTTTGGTAATTATTTAGGCCTCTTTACTAGACTCTGGGCTTAACGAAGATTCATGTCACCATCTAGCTTGGCCTTAGTCCAAAGCATCAATAGCTTGCAGCTGAGGGCCCTGCCAGCGCCAAATGCTAGCCTGAAAGAGCCACAGCATGGCGTTCTGGTACATGGGATGTAAATAAGGGTCGACTGCTATCAGGGTCGAAATAAAGTAGGGTCTAGGTGTATGTGAATACCACCCCGAACCCTTGACCCTATCGGCTTCATTATGCTCCTAAGGAATACACTTGCTATCCGATGAAGACCCCACATTGGCCTCTGATGACTTAGAATGCAACGGTTTAGGGACGTCAAGCGGGGATGCTGCTGCCATGTCTGGGCCAACATCAAAACACCTGAAACCCGACAGTAAACCCAAGAAAGTTGGAAACCGGATTAAGGTCAAATAGTGCTGGGATTCCCTATACATTACTCATAAGGATTGAGGCTATGGGGTTTCCAACTTTTTGGCTTCTACTGTAAACTTCCTGTGCAACCCCTGGTGCTCGGACCTGGCATCGCATGCCTCAGCTCCACAACAAACTTAGCAAAATAAGTCAACCAACCTCGAACCCTAGAGGATGGGTATGTGCTTTCTCAACCCACAAACCTGGAACGGAAGGATGGTCCACAAGCTGCATTGTACTGAGCTTTGTTCAGGCTTTCAGGGTTTGTGTTTAGATCTTATGGTTTCCGGATTGCGGCTCTTCGGATACAGGATTCAGCCTTTGGCTGCGTCGTCTCACAGCCGTAACAGCCGTATGAAGCTCTAATGGCCAGTAGTGGGGACTCAGTAAACTTGGATCAGGGCTGGGGATCTACTAGCGCAATGCAGATACCTAGAGTCTCCATTGTAGTTCTTTTTCTTGGTCAACCAAAATCTCTATTACAAGATCCTAACCATAAAACTGGATACCACAAAAAGGAACTTTAATGGAGAATATAGATACTTGGAAATTGTAGACAAATCATACTGGGGCTCCCACAGACTTGGCCGAAATCCCTCACCCTGAGCCCCCCAAGCCCTCGCAAACGCATGCCGGTGCCTGGAATCCTGAGTTGCCGACTACCCGAGAGCCCCTACTGAAGGAATCAGCAATATCGTCATCGTCAACACATTGGCTCTGGTCCTAGATGATTGCTGCATGACAGGCACGACATCGTGGACCTAACGCCGTGCCAATGCAAATCCAGCAGTAGTAGCAAGTAGAGTAATGCTTCATCTACAGTCTCAAACCGTGTCATCATCACTATTATCATGCGCCATCCACTGAGCCATGATCCTCAGAACAGCGGCGATATGAGCCTGTAGCCACCAAATCCACAGCCCAAACTCTCAAGCCGGCGCAACTCCAAAAATCCCTAAACCCTAAACCCTAAACCCTAAATCCTAAACCCCAAAAAATAACATGTTAAACCCGGAGACAGTAAAATGTCCAGAATGCCTCCGAAGGCCGTTGTCCGCCGTCCCGGCACCGGCGGATGACCTGAACGCGGATCTCCTTAAGTATTAAGGATGCCTTCAAGGGAACTACAAGGGTAAGGCAAAAGCCAGAAAGTTGGAATATGATTATCCTAAACCCTTTATGGTAAATTATGGGGTATCCTACCCTGAAACCATATTCCAACTTTCTGGCTTTTACTTTACGGCTTCAGAGTAGAAAGAACGACAAGGAGCCGAACGATCTCTTCTGGTGTTCCTTCTTTACTCGGTTTGGGAACGGTGGAGGCGGGTACTGATGTTCCAGTGATATTGCTGCTACTTTAGGGCTTCAGGGGGGAGGGTCTGGAACGTAGGGCTTGAGGATGTAAGGCTTTGGGTCGGGGTGTAGCGCTGTAGGGTGTCGGGTAACTTGGAACAAACCACAATCCACCCTAAACCCTAATCACGAAACCCTGAACTATAACCCCTAGACCCTCAGTCCGGGACTTTAGTCTGCGGATGAGCTTTGAGACCGGCTCCCTTCATTCATGTATCACTACAGCTATCCCTAGGGTGTAGCCAAAGCTCCAAGAGATCTGAGTTTCCTGCACTTGCCAGGTCACCACCTTCCATCAACTGCATGACCTGTGTGTGTGCGCAGATCTTGCTGGGAGGCTTTGAGTAACGAACTGCTAGTAACTGCTAGTGAGACGGATGATAGACATCTTGCGAGGGGGCAAGGGACTTAGTAAGTAGGTTACAAGTAGAGTTATAAGTACCCTAAATGGGGTTACCCCAACTATACCCCTACCTATAACCTACTTACTCAGCCCCCTGCCCCTCCAAGTAGACCCTAAACCCTAAACCCCATGGATCCCTTTAAGGAACCCTATAGATCCCTTTAAGGAGAACTTTAAGACCCCTTACTAACTAAGCCCCCTGCCCCTCCAAGTAGGGTCTAGGGTCGACTTGCGAAGTCCCCAAAGCTGAAGCCTACAGTAAAAGCCAGAAAGTAGGAATATGATTATCCTAAACCCTTTATGGTAAATTACAAGGTATCCTACCCTGAAACCATATTCCAACTTTCTGGAGTTCCCTTTAAAGGAAACGAGCTTAGAAAGCGAGAGAGTCGGGCTCTGGAGCAAAATGCCCTCGGACGAGAGGGCCTGAGAGGGCCTTAGGGTGCTATTACCTGGTGCAGATTCCTAATTGGGCTTAGATAGTATGCTATTCAGGGTTTAGGGTTTAGGGTTTAGGGTTAGGGCTATTCATACTTATTGTGGGCTGTTGAATTCTGTTACAATTTCCTGACCATTCAAGTAGGCCTGCAGCAATGCAGCGCAGCTTGATTGACCGAGCTCTGTCTGGGTGTAGATGCTTCCACATGCAGCTTCATATGAAATCACCTTGTTACTACTACGTAGTGTCCCATCAGGACGCCCAAAGGATACACTGGCCAGCAAGGAGGAGGCCTGCACACACTCTTTGAATCTTGAAATCTTAAGGTGAACCCAACCTCGGAAAACGATTCGCAAATGCACGCGAGCTTATGTTTTGTATGATTGCAGCTATGCTGCGCTTAAAGAGAACTCGACACGTAAGCTAAAATTAGGAGCTAAATGCTAAAGCCAAGGATCCCAAGATTCTAGACCCCTGAATCCCAACCCCTACGTCCTAAGCCCAAAACGGCCGAAGCCGGATGCAGGCATGCTGCGGGATGGGGGGAAAGGCAAATCGCTGGGACCCATGAGGGTACCCATGAGAAGCCCTCTCCTCTACCTATAGTCTCCATTGTAGTTCCATTTTTTGGTCAACCAAAATCTCTACAATAGGATGCTAACCATAAAACTGGCTAACCAAAAAGAGGAGCTACAATGGAGACTATAGGTAATACCCGAAAACCCTAAACCCGAAAAACCTTCAAATGCTCTACGTAGACTCTAAACACAAAACCCTGGACCCTGGCCTAGCATGCCCTTGAATGGAACTTTCAAGTCCTGAAGCCTTGTATGTCACTTAGGAGGGCGCTATGTGCATCTGCTGGGCGCCGACGATGCAATCGAAGAACCTGAGTTTAAGGAATGCACTACGACGTCAGGCTCAAGAGCTTACCTATAGTCTCCATTGTAGTTCCTTCTTTTGGTTAGCCAAAAACTGGCTAACCAAAAGAAGGAACTACAACGGAGACTATAGGTAGAGTTCACCTACTTAGAGGATCATGGGGCTTAGTAAGTAGGTCATAATTGGGGTACAAGTCGTTTAAGTGAGGATATCCTAATTATCACCTACTTCTAACCTTACTAACTAAGTCTCATGAGCCTTCAAGTAGGCCCTAGATAACCACCTTCTCGGGGGTTCCCTACTATGCTTCCTTCTAGAAGTCCTTGGGCAGGTAGGTTATTCATGGTCTAGGTGAGGCCTAGGGTTATGAAGGGATGACGAAACTTGTCAATGACTTTAAATAGGAGCCAACAGAACTAGTGGCTTTGTCTGGTGGCGTTCGCAAAGAAGTGTAACCGGGATCACCAAACCTGCTGCGGCGGCTCCTACAAGAACCCGGAACAGTAGCGGTACCGGAATGACAGTGACGAAGTAGTGGAGGTGTTGCAGTAGAGGCAGCGGGAAACAGGTGCAAGTCGCAACTAAACAGCACTTCGAACACGACTGTGTTCCCTGCAGTTGGATACACGGAAACCGCGGGCCCCCTCAACTCTCTCACAGCGATGCCTCACGATGTGCGGATGCTTCACCCGGCGCAGCAAATATGCCTGTGTGTCAAGATTGTTTCTTCCAGGGTGCAGGGTTTGAGAAACAAGCTAAGGTTTGCTTCGTGGGACGGGGCGTAGGTCTGGTCTTCGTGCTTTGGCGGACTTAATTATATAAGCCAATCCCTGAGCCCCACCACAAAGATCTTTCACGAATGGGCGATGAAGCTTCTCAGTCTACAGATGAATGGTGTCCCGATTGTTGTCCTTCCCGCACAGCCCTGTGTTACCCTGTTGCGCTTCAACGAGCTAAACTTCGTAGTCTCCAGCTGCAAGGTTGCGGGCTTTGGAATTGCGTGCTCTGACGTCTCTCATTTACTTCGGTCCTCCGGGGTTCATTCGTGCTAGTATGCACCCACCGGAGCTTTGTGCTAATGCCAACAGATGGGAGTTTCCGAAAATAGGGGACCTTAATATGGCACCCTAAATAGTAGGGTCCTTATTATAAGGACTCCCAAAAAAGGTACCCCTAATTTTCAGAAACTCCCATATCTAAATCCTAAAACTCTACGTCGCCCCGGCCTCCTGCGATGCCTGGTGGCGCTCCTCCGAAGCTTGGATACAGAGGGCTCACGTGTTTTGGGGACTGCAGGGAATTACAAGCTTTGGGGAAGGCCCTGCTTTCGTTACATGTCTCGGTGTCTCTAACATCACAAGAGACGAAGACATGAACCCTAAACCCCAAAACCAAAGCCCCACACCCTGAACCCTTTGCAGCGCAAACTTTCTAGGACCGATATATTGCCTTTATTGAAAACCTTATAGAACGTGATAGAATCATAATTGCGCGACCCTGTCCGTAGAATCGTTGACATACATCTGCAGGACCTGTGCAGACCCCTTGCATTGCAGGACCGGCACAGAACCCGTCGAAACTGCTCCTAGAACCAAGAATATTCGAGGCTCCGTTTGGGAGATTGCGAAAATAGGGTACCCGAATATAATACCCTAAATAATAAAATCCTTATTCTAAGGGACCCCAAATCAGGTAGCCCTAATTTTTCTCGGAAACTCCCATATATACTTCCATTATGGAGTTAGGATCCAAAAGACCATCCCCATTATGGCTCTAGGAGACCTAAGTCCCTAATGGTAGCATATATGGGACTTTCCGGAAATAGGGGGTCCAAATATAGTACCCTAAATAGTAGGATCCTTATTATAAGGTCCCCAAAATAAGGTCAACCCCCGACCCACACAGCAAAAGGCCCCTAAAGCTCTCAAGCGCAAACCGGAAACAGTAGATCCTTAACCCCTTAACCTGACTATTTACTCCCTAACTCCCAAACCTCAAACCATTGCAGGACCCTCACAGCAGGTTAACAGACTCCCCGTGGCACCTGCGAAGAATGCTTTTTGACCCTTATCGGACACCTCAATGCGATTCCCTGAAACCCTAGACCCGGATCCCGAATCCTTAAACTAAGGCAAAACACTCTTCATGATCCAAAGAGATCAGATCGCTGCGGTGCTGTGTCATATAGAGCCCTCAGAACAATCCCTAAATCCTAACCCAAACCCTAAACCTAAACCCTAAAACCTAAAACCTAAAGCCTAAACCGATGTCACAAAGGTCCTTGGCCGTCAGCGATCCGAGATCGATGCACTTCACGGCCACACGGCTGCCACTTGCGCGCCCCGCAGCCTGCTGCGATGGGACTCTACTTAAAGGATCATGGGACTTAGTAACTGGGGTTATAATTGGGGTAACTATACTTATAACCCCACTTAAGGTACTTATAACCTTACTTACAAAGTCCCATGATCCTCCAAGTAGTCTTTGGGGGCCTTGATGATTGGAAGACGGTGTCTATAACCTTATATAGTCTCCATTGTAGTTCCTTTTTGGGATAACCAAAATCCCTATTATAGGGTCCTGACCATAAAACTGGTTAATCAAAAAAAGAACTACAATGGAGACTATAGCAAGGCCTTGAGAGGCTCCCTCAACGAAAGGAAAGGGTCCAGGGCATAGGAGCCTTCAGAATTTGAACGGGGTTTCTCACCATTGCCCTAGGCATCTAAGGACTGATATATTAAGGCTTTTGGGCCCAAAGACCATACTATATAAGGCTTTTGGGCTATTTTGATGCCCAGGGTTGGGGCCATCGGAGCACAAGCCGTTGACCCCAAAACCCCAAACCCAACCCAGCGCAGACCAAAGCCCAGACCCCAAAAACCGTTAAACCTCAACCCCGAGCATTCAACCCTAAACCCTAAACCCCTAAACCCTAACTAAACCCCTAAACCCCTAAACCCTAAACCCCTAAACCCCTAAAAGAACCCTAACCCGGAAGCATGAACCCCCAAGCCAAAAGACCGAAATCCCTGCAGCAGCCCTCAGTTTCTCGCCGCAGGTCCTTGCTCTGCGGAGCGGAGCAGGGCAGGGTCAGTTCCACTTTGCTCTGCAGGGTTTAGAGTTTAGGGTTTAAGGTTTAGAGTTTAGGGTTTAGGGTTTAGGGGTTTAGAGATTAGGGTTCAGGGTTTAGGGTTTAGGGTTTTAGGGGTTCAAGGGTTTAGGGGTTTGGGGCTTCGACGTAGGGCTTTCGCATGTTGGGGGCTCGGACCATGGGCCAGGGACTTAAAATCAAACTCTGAAAGAGGGTTCTATAGTATAGGGGCCTTATAGATTAGGCTTCCTTTTAGGGTTCCGTCAAGGACTACTATAAGGGATCTATAAGGCATCGCAGGAAGCTGCGTACTTGTGGGTTCAGGGTTAAGGGTGTGGGGTGTACGGTTTCAGGGTTAAGGGAGCGCAAAGCTTCAAGTTTAGAGATTAAGACTAGACCCTAAACCCTAAACCCTGCACCCTAAACTTTAAATCCTAGAACCCTAAGCCCTAATCCCCTAAACCTCTAAACCCTAAACGTTAAGCTTCAAGGTTCCAGGTCTTCAGATCGAAGGCTTCGGGGTTAAGGTTTCAGGGCTTCTCAGCTTTGGTCAGAGCTTTGGGGTTCAGGGATTTTAGGGTTTTGGGGTGTTTAGGCTTAGGGTTTAGGGTTTTAGGGTTTAGGGCGTAGGGGCTTAGGGTGTAGGGTTTTGGGGTTTAGGGTTTAGGGGTTTAGGGGTTTAGGGTCTCAGGGTTTAGGGTTTTGGAGTTTAGGTTTTAGGGTTTTGGGGTTAGGGTTTAGGGGTTTAGGGTTTTGGGGTTTAGGGTTTTGGGGTTTAGGGTTTAGGCTTAGGGGGTGGGGTTGAGGGTTCAGCTCCAACAGACTGTAAAGTAACAAGGGAGTAGATGTATTATCGTTCTCATATCATTTCGAAGACTGAAGCCCGTTTAGGCAGGCGGTGTGTTGATCAAGGCTATACCATTCCCGTCCCCGCCGCACACAACCGGGTCTATAGTAATTACTTGATATGGCTTTTTAGCATGGTAACTTAAGCTAAACCATTTAGTTTAACAAGAACCCAGATTTCGCAGAGAGAGCAGGGCTAGTGGGACCCCGGAACTTTGTGCACCGCATCTGAATTCGTCGCGGGAGACCCGGAGAGCCCAATGCACCCTAGTCACTGGCTTGCGGCTTTGGGTTTGGGGCATATGGGACAGTTGTATAGGGCCCGAAGCAGTACATAGAGTGAGCATGAACCAAGTTTTCCAAAGGTGTATGCCTCATGTAAAAGGCTTCGGCTCCCTAAAGTCTAAGCCCTAAATAAACTGCAACCTCCGATTCCCAAACCCACCCTCTAAACTGTAAACCCTAAACCGCCTAAACCCTAAACCCTGAAACCCTTAATCGGTGGTTGTCAAAATCATAGTCCCTTTTTGGGTACCCTAAATAATAGGTGCCGTACTATATGGGGCCCAAAAAGGGGTCCTAATTTTGACAACCACCTCAATCTTTTAATACAGTGTGTCTAGTATACCGTAAATACCCATTATTAAGGACCATTAGGGCTCTATTAAAAGGTACTTCGGGGGTCCTGGTAAACCGCCTAAACACTAAACCCTGAAACCCTAAACCCTAAACCCTGAAACCCATAATCTTTTATACAGTGCGTGTTGGGCTCCCTTGGTGCCCTAAACCCAGGACCAGGTTGCCACCAGAGAGGTCCCATGGCTTCCGTGCTACGGCTGATGAGTATAAACCCCTATAACAACAAAACCTGTAACGTTTGGGACAGAACCTTCAAGATTCAAGAGCGAAGGTTCAGGGCTTTTACGTGTTGATGATTTGGGGTTCTGTGGCTCTGCGGCCGAAAGGCTTCGCCTTGTGCTTCACATTAGATGGAACCAACGCTCAGAGCCCAGGCCGCTAAACCCCACGCCCAACGTACATATGTGGAGTTATCCGGTCCTTGAATTTTCCTCTGCTCTATTCTGCTCTGATGTACTGTGGAATGTATGCTGCAGCAGCAGAGGAAATTGTGCGTGTCAGTGCGGTGTCAGGCAGTGACAGTGGCAGCAGTGCCAGTGCCATGCAAACATGTCTTCAAGCCTCAAGCTGAACCGTGAAGGCCTCTTTGTTCACAGGCTTTACAATGACCCAATGGTCCTCAACAGTACCAAATCGATCGTTTGAGTAGCAGACTCTCCGTTGTGCTCAGTTTTGCTTGAATTTGCTTGCTTCCCGCAAGTTTTGAGCGTTTTTGCTGATGTCAGTGATGACCCATCCAGGTCCCCCCAGAAAACCAGGCTGAGTTGCTCGGCGTTTGGTCCCCTGAGCCCGGGCGACGTTGGTTTGAACAGCCCAGGCATTGAAGCATGGTTTTGGACACACCACGCAAACTTACCCTCAACCGGCGGTGGCTTCCACTCCCACCCACAGCCACTTTGGCCCCATCATGAATATCAGATCACGAGACATGACACCCTGCACACACACACACACACACACACACACTGCTGGTTTCGTAGCACCCAATAAGCCAGGCGGCCATCCAGGCCCAGGTCGGCCCCGGGAGCACAAAACTCTACATTGCACAACACTGTCTTCAGCCTGGAGTACTTGGACCTGGTTAAATCGTGCTTGAACAAAACTTGCAAGTTTTGACAACATGAAAACATGGAGGCTCCAGAAGAGTTTCTGGACTGTTCCAGTTGAAGCTCCAGCACTGTTCTCACTGTTCTGCAAGAGTTGGAGGGGGGTCTCATGCACATGTGTGCACAAGTGTCAAAACTTTGTGTGAAGCTGCAGTTGCCTCACAAGCACCGCTTAGCCACAGTTGATCTTTACTTTGGGGGTTTAAGGTGTTGACTAGGATCGGGGGGTTTGGATCTTCAGGAATCGTCGGTTTAGGGTTTGGGATCTGCTTATCTTTGGTTTCGAATCGTTGGGCTTGGGGTTTAGCGGCTCAGAGCCTACACCCAAAAAAAGATGTGTACCTTGTCAAAAATGTACACCTACGCATGCGAACAACACGACTTCAGAAGTTTGGATGCACGTAAAAGTATCGGAGAGCGGTTGACAGCTCGGGCGCTCTACACAGCGCCGCTGTGAAGTGGCACACACTGTTAGACAAATCAACTCTTCAACTGTGCAGCAGCTTTTCACGGTCTTCGTAATACCAGTTTGAGACTTCTGATCCTTCTCTGTCATTTTGGACTGAACACATGTATTGTCGATAACTTCTAACATATTGCCTGCCCAGCACCAAGATCGTAAACCCATTCAACTTTGACTCGACTTTGTTCAAGGGCGCGTGATGAAAAACCTATGGGGGAATCGAGTCTGAATTTTCAAGCATGAATGCAGGCCATGGCGTTTATCGAGTGGCGGCCTGGCAAAACAGCACAGCTCAATTCCACAGAGCCGTCACCTCTTCGTGTTCGTCGGATCATCATACCTCTGCTGCATTCTTTTTGGTCCCGCTGCCTGGCAAAACACATAGCGGGGCAGGGGTCGCAGGGGTACGGGGCGAATCGCAGCCCCGCCTTTTCCATTGCTCCTCGGCCGAAGTTTTAGGCTTTAGGGGCCGTAGGGTGTTAGGGTTGAGGGCGTAGGGTTTAGGGGTTTTGGGGTGCAAACCAAGTTTTCCTGCTGGCTGAGACGGGCTCGGAAGCGCGAGAGCGTTCATCGCGAGCCTCTGCGGAGCCCGCACCGCACCCTCCAGCAACAAAGGAAATAAGTACTGGGTGACTTAATATAGGGGCTTTCATAATTAGAATAGGTTTTCGGGGCGCATTATATTGTAAATGTAATAAGGAACCCCCAACATAGTATAGGTGATTATTAAAGTCCCTAGGTCAGGACATTCAAAGGGCCGTTCAGGGATGACCTTGCGAGCTCTGGATGGCTCAACCAGGGCTGGATTTGTAGGAGTTTGGGACTTGATGGTTTGAGTTTGTATCCTCTCGTATAAAGCTCTTCGGCTCAAGGACCCCGCAGGTTTGGAAGTAAGATACTGTACATCGGAACGGCTGAAAATTCCTTCAGCGAAGGACCGGGGGGGCGTCCCTCGAAAAGTGGAGGCCTTGTCCAAAACCCCGGCGCTTCAGGAGTGCGGTCTTCGAGGCCTTTTTTCACCCTGCCCGCCCAGGCACGAAACGGTTTAGGATTTAGGATTTAGGGTTTAGGCCACAGTATCGTTGCTACCATCAGCATCACAAACATGATCGCCATCGACACCATCATCACAATCAATATCTCCAGCAGCAGAAACGTCGCTCTAGTCTCGTCATATGCTGGCCTTCAGTGCCCACACACT